ACTAGCGAGCAGTGATTAAAGGTAAAAACTCTGTTGCTAGGTATATGCATTCTATGTACTTAAGGAAATGGTGTCTAATACTGATATGGTTATTAATAATACTTATTACATCTACAATTTAAAGTGACCTTGATACTTTCATAGCATGTAACAACTTATTTTCAGAGTCTTTATGTCTTTTAGGATTTTGCACATTTCAGTGAGTCCTATGTTCACTGAAATTTAGCAATGAAATCTTAAGAAAATATTAAGCAGTTAATTTACAAGATATTTAGGAGGTGGTTACTATAATTCAAGTATTAACGAAAGATGAAGGATTTTTTTATTATGCAAAATACATTTTGAGTGGCATGAGGTTTTACCATATGTTCAGTTTTATAATTTTAATTTAAAAGTAGAGGCTTCTGGGAAAAAAAGTGCTGTTTTCTTCTGTACGTATTTACACATTTCTAGAACTGAGTTCTAAATCACAGTAACAAATAATGTTTAAAGTCTTTAAGTGTTTTTTGGTGACAAGTGGGCTGAATAAAGCTGAGTAAAAGCCACAACTACCCAAAATGTGAATATCTGCTAAGCAATTGACTTGTTCTTTAGGTATGTTATGTGATAGGAACAAGTGATTCAGCTGATTAATATCCTATCAATGCAACTGAAATGGCAAAAACAAAATAACAACAAAACCCCCTTAGTATTAAAGTATGATTTTGTATTTTCAGAAACAGAGTTTCACAAAGAGAAAATTTCTTTCTTCTACCACTAACGTGAAACTGCCTGTCAAATGGCAACAAATACCATGAATGCAAGGTTATTCAAATATAATTTAAAATATATTTCATTTTAATGCTTAAAATAAGTTTCATTAAATAATTTTATTAGGAAAATCTTAAAGTTACCTCCACTTTTCGGGCCTAATAGGATGTATCTGTTTCACTATATCTGCATTGTAAAGTCTAGTCTGAGTTCATTTTGGGAGAGTATAGTGAAAGAAACCCCTAATGGCTCCTTTAAGCAAGCGTTAAGAAAGTCTTACAGGATTACATCCATGTTTGCTTTCTAAATGATACCAAAAGCTCAATTTTAATAAGTAGAATCTGCTTAGCCACGCATAAAATACTTTGGTTTAGATGTAAGTGTATGCATTGCTTATGTTGTTGTTTTTATAAAAACATTTTACATAGGCCAATATGTCTTGTTTGATATTGGTTAATATCATAAAAAATAATGCCATACCATTACCTTACTAAATGCTTTTTGGAGATCAACTAATAGTATGTATCTATAGTGATAATTATTTTAGTTTGTTTCAAAAGAGGGAGCTACTTATGGATAGGATCAATTTTTACTCCCATTTATATATTTTCAATGATTAAGAAAAGAGACCTTCATTTTGGGGTAACTATTTATACATAGCAATAATTTAAAGTTATGTTAGATGGTGGACCGTGAAAAAAACACTATTGCCATTTTTAATTGAGTTATAAAATGTTTTATTTGAACTATTTATGTTCAAGAATCTTGAAGGATTGCAGTCACATAAATGCAGAATTTCAGTTTCTTTTAGCCTAAAGCATCATTTCAACATTTTCTAAAAGGTTGTTCAATTCTACATTTTGATTCCATTATATGTGTAATTAAACCTCTATGCACAAAAGCATTCTCTTATGTACTAGCAAGTACACCCACAGGAATCCTCTTCTAAACTATAATTTATTTAAACATGTAATCATAGGATTTTAAACATGCTTTCATTTTTCCAAACTATATGCCAATTTGAACTGCTTGGTAATGAGAAGAGATTTTATTACCAGCTTGATTTTTTCTCCCCGGTGCACTAACAGTGAATTAAAGGTGGGCAAAAAGAGATTAAAAAAAAAAAAATTTAAATGTTTCTATGTTTTAGAAAAATAGAAGAAAATAAAAAATGTATAGTTATGAATTCCAACACAATATGAATATCTGGGCTTGAAGTATTCTCTGCTCAGGCTTGGCCTAAGTAGTAGTTTGTGTGTGTGTGTGTGTGGGGGTTTGTGTAAGAAAGATCCTCTTGAACGTTGTGGAGTCAGGCCCCCTACTGACAGGATTAGTCAATTACAGATATTGGAGGTTCTACTGGGATTTAAACACATCAAAACCTTGGAGAAACAAGAGTCTGGAGTTTTAAGTGTGTTCTTTTTTTTACACTTGCCGAACCCTGTGCTGGATCCCTTTCACCCAGAGCACATTGGAACTATACGAAAAAACGCCAACCCAAGAAGTAGGTTATCCAAAATTAGTTTAAGTCTTGCTTACTTCTTCCTAAGAAGTAACGCTTCCCAGGAATCAGAATAGGAATTTGAAAAGGATTGTAGAAGACAAAGGAATCCCCCCCCCCTTTTTCTCCCTCTCTCATTTTAATGTTATAATCCCTCTATTCCCAGCTAATGATTATTATAATCTTCTGTAATAACTGCCTATCGATCTAAAGTGCATTAAGATTTGGGCAAAGGCTCTGTTTCAAGAAACTATACGCCACAGGTTGCTGTTAAAGAATCACACTACAGTGTTTAGCTTCCTTGGACGCTCAAGAATTTCAGGACACTTTCACATTCCCTGGGAGGGAATTCTCAGGTTGTCCCCAGACTCAAACCAGCATAAATCTGGGTGTGTTTTTAATTGCAATGAGGAAGGGAGAGATGAGAAGAGGGAAAACATCTATTCAGATGTGCGTATTAGTGATTTAAGTGTGGTGATGGCAACCTTAAAGTTATCTCGGCCCCCACTTTCCTAAGACTAGATTAAAAAATAACTTGCCCCTGCATGCTAGCCACGCTTGAGTTTCCGACTGTCTGAAAATAGCTGCCTGGAGCCTGGCCCGCCGCGGGGATCAAGGAAAGCTCCCCATCTGACCGCGCCCTGCTCCCTAGCGGAAGGGGAAGGGAACCCGGGAGGGCGCCACAGGCGCTGGAGCTACTGCTATTTTTGGGCCCCGCCGGGCGGGTGCGTCAATGCCTGCGCCCCTGCGTCACCGCCACCCCCACCTCCTTCCTTCTGCCCTGCTCTCCAAACTCTCACTTTTTCCTTTGGTTCGCGTGGAATCGCTTCTGCCCACGGGGCGCTGACGCTAAGACGCTCATGCTAATAAGCTATTCTTCGCCGTCCCTCATTTCTCCCCCCTGCTCACACACCCTCACCATCCACCACAACATACCCAACTCACACGCACATACTTCCTTGTTTTACTGGTTATTTTTCCTTGCGCCCGCTAGGGCACCTTTGAGCTGCAGCAGTTGCAGCAGTTGAAGCAGTGGGAACGGCAGCAGCAACATCTGGGGAAAACTTAAGGTGGTCACGTAGGTTTCCCCCGGGCATAGGGGCAAAAAAGCAGGCATCTATTCTAGGCAGCCGCAGGACACCTGATGGCAGCGCTTCTCCAGCTGCGGGGGATCAGGGGGCGGCGGGGAGTGCAAAGGCTGGGGTGCAGATTGGGGCTAAGTAGCCCCGGAACCTGGATAGTTTGACGGCGCTTTCGGCACGTACGGAGCAAACCTGGAGGGGGGCGAGTGGCAAAGGGGCTCTTAGCAACCTGGAAGCAAACCACGCAGAGGAAGGAGGGGTGACTGGAACGCTCTCCGCGGTCAGAGCAGGGAGTGCGTCTCCGAGCTCCCTCTTCTAGTCTCAGTCTCTTCGAGCCCCCCTGGAGAATCCGTAGGAGGCTCTCCCTTCTTTAGCCCGCCCGGGGACCTGGAAGACCCTGCCTCCGGAAGACGCGGTGTTTCCTTTGCTAGAAAGCGTCTCGCGCTCTCGGCCTTGCGGGCATATTGACTTGTTAAGCAGAGTCAGCAGCTATTCCGCGGGCCGCAGGGGTCTGCGCCCATCACCCGCCCGGGACCCTCTCCAGGGAGCGCTGAGCTCACATACTTTAAGCTACGCGGAGACACCACCACCACTGCCGCCGCCGCCGCAGCCAATGTCTTGCCTTTCTCTATTGGGTCTCAGGTTGAGGCTGAGGACCCTTGTGTTACAATGGAACGTCATTTTATTTCTCTAAAACTCCAGGAAGGGATGCGAGATGGTGGATACCCAGGAGTGTAGAAAGTATTAGAATTGGGAGAGAAGGTGGAACCAGAGCACCTTTCTGCTTAAGGCGCACCTGTTGCCTGCTGCTTGGCTGCATTGTCTGCAAAAGGAAAGCAGGCAACACCTCACTCTGATTTGGGAGTCCCTCAAGGGCTGTGTCACAGTCCACTCTTTCCCCTGCCCGGTCCGCCACACACTAAGTCCTCTCTCGTATATGGGTACTGCAGGAAAAAAGGGAACACAGAGAAATAGCCCCTACTCTCACTCTCCTTCATCGTGGAGTGTATGTGTGAAAGAGAGAGAGAGAGATAGAGACTGATTGATTGATTAAGATAGAGTTTGAGAGAAAGTGAGTTAGAGAAAGACAGCGCTGAGCCAGGGAAATCCCTCCCCAACTGCCTGAGCCCTTCAGGCGTCCAGTGTCGTGGGAAGTCTGTACGCGCTTCCGCTAAGGGGGGTGTGGAGTGTGGGTGGGTGGTTAGGGCTCTGCAAGGCACACCTCATCCCATGCTGCTTCAGGTGCGGGCTACCTGGCCCATTCAATGTTCCTTCCCCTTGGCCTGCCGTCATTTTTTTTTTTTTTTTTTTTCCGTAGGCTTCTCACTCTTAAGCTGCCCAGCGGCCTCCAAGGGCGTGGGGGCTTGGTAAAAAGCGAGGTTTCGGGCGCTGAGACCTGCGCGGGCTTGGGTGGAGAGGTCACACCTCTACTAGGAAAATAAATAAATAAATAAACCTAGCTAGCTACCAAGGTGAACCCAGAACGGTTCCCACCTTAAAATCTCTCCTGGTCGTGACGTCAGGTCGGAAATATACCAAAGCGAGCGCGGGCCAGGAGTCCGGGGAGCGCGGCTGCAAGGCGATTGGGTGGCGAGCTGCTGACGCGCGCTGACGCGCGGAGACTTTAGGTGCATGTTGGCAGCTGCAGCGCGAGCCACATAAACAAAGGCACATTGGCGGCCAGGGCCAGTCCGCCCGCCTGCTCGCGCTCTCCTCCTCTGTCCCCGCTTGGTTGCATTGCCGGCCTCCTAGCCTTGCTCCCTTCCTACTCGTGGTGTCTCTGCTCCCTTAGCCTCAGACCCCGCCACCCGGGTTCCCAGAGGGAATTGCACTTCGGCAGAGTTGAATGAATGAAGAGAGACGCGGAGAACTCATAAGTGAGTAGGGGCAGCCGGTGCAGCTCTCCTTTCTTCTTCTACGTGTCATTTCTTTCTACATGTGTGATACAGGTTCTTTTGAGGTGGGCGCTGGAGGCGCGGAGGGCGAGAGGGGCTGGAGGATGAGGAGGGTGGATGCGCGAAACTACGGAGAGTGCTTGTCCGAACTCTGGCTTTGGCACTAGTGGGGAGTTGGCTCCCAACAGAGGCTTCCCAGGCTCCTCATTGGTGGAAGTGGAAGGGAGACTTGCACAGTTCTGGGAGCTGCTGGCTAGCCTGCGGAAATAATGCGCAAACTTTTCTCTTTAAGGAGAAATTGGTTGTGGTCTTTAGATATGGAAGCTCCAAGTCGTAGATATACGAGGGGCCTGGACATTGCCTGCAAAGTGACAGGGAGAGAAAGTTCTTCACTTTATGTGTTGCTTGGGAACTGTGTCACGGCGGCTGGCAAGCGTACCGGTGTTTCCTGAGTATTGTTGATTAAGGCTGTTGTTGGTAGAATGTCCTGTTACTAAGTTGCCTGAAATTTCTGAGCTTGACATATGCCATACATGTGTATGTGAATGTGTCAGAGAGAGAGAGAGAGAGAGAGAGAGAGAGAGAGAGAATGAGAATGTGCAAAGAATAGAGCTACCAGGCGGTTAATATCCAATACAGACATCTGTCCAAACAGCTATAGAAACCGTCTCCTTTCTTTTAACTACTTTTCGGTCACACCCCTCTTCCCCTCACCCAAGCAAGATTAAGAAAGGGATGGGGGGGGGCAGGTGGAGTGGATATTTGGCTTTCTTTTTCATTAGTAATGAGATTGTCTATGCTCTAGAATGACTTCCAAGTGGGGACATCTGAAAATAACTAGGATACAAGTGTGCCTTGTTCCAGCAAGTAAGCAGATCTAGAAGGCTGCACAGGGAAGTAGGAAAGGTATACAACTTGCCATGCTGGGAATCACTTCTAACGTTGGTGCCAAAACCATAGAAGTAGTATTTCCCTGCTTCATCAGGCCACCTAAGATCCTCCTGGAAAGGTGGGGTTTCCTCTTCCTACCCTTTGGCCATTAAAGATGTTGAAAGACAAGTTTCTGGGAAAAGTGAACACCAATTTACTTGTATCCCCAACTGAAGAGCAATTCCAGTGCTCTGTTAAAGCTTTTAGGAAATCCAGATGCTTCTACTGGAATCAAATGGTCTTTTACCACTGTCCAGGCCTTATAACACTTTGTGTTTTTTTCCCTCGTTTTAAATTCTTGACTTCTAACTTCCTTCCCCCCTCCCAAAAGAAAAGCCAATGCTACAGGGGAAAAAAAATTTCAAGAGAATGTTTCAGTGATGCATTTTTATGAAACTCTGGTTTTCTGATTCAAGTCCAAATTAAACAAAAACATCTCCGCTACTTTATTACATCATAAGGGTAGAATAAGTATGTTCGGTACATTTCCCTCTTCATGGGCACTCTCTGGATGGCATTTTGTGTTGTTTCTAGGCATCTCTTTTATACATTTGAACTGCTGTGTTTGGTAAAGGTTATGCACTACTTTCCACTGAAACAAACAGAAAGGGTATTGGAAGGCCTGCCTGGAGAGCCTATTTTTGCCCTGCGGAATCTCTGCGGGAAAAGTCGCTCTGAAGCTTCCTGTGTCTGTATTTCAGGGAGTAGATCCGACAGGCTGGATTCCCCACTGCCTTTCTAAAAATCTTCGAAACTTTGTCCTTCATTGAATTACGACACTGTCCACCTTTAATTTCCTCGAAAACGCCAGTAACTCGGCTGAAGGTTAGTGCAATCTCATTTATTTCATTCCCTTCCCCGAGTTCCCAAACATCATGAGACAGGGCAACGCGATTTCCCCCGGCGAACCCCGTAACATAAGGCTTCCCGGACCGCATCACCTTTGGGAACAAGTTTCTCATTGTGCAATTGAACTTCAGCGGGATCGTTTCTAGAAAGACATCGCGGAACCAGAGCTTCTGAAAAGGGGCTCGTCAGAGTGGGGTTGGCTAGGCAGGCGGGTGGGGGGAAGTTCTTGGAACTATCCGGGAGTGTAGACCCTCAATAGCTTTCTGGCTCTGGGTCTTTATTTAACTAGCCTTCCTCACCCTGCACTGTTTTGGCGGCAGCACTCGCGCTCCCCCGCCCTGCCTTTCGCGCCCTTGCTCGCCTTCTGACTGCCGCGGGCTGCTGGTGTAGCTCCAGGTGTACCCGAGCCGGGGAGAAAGTATTCAGTTGACCAGGCTGAGTGTATATTACCCTGTTTCATTTCCAGCCATGCCTTGTGTTCAGGCGCAGTATGGGTCCTCGCCTCAAGGAGCCAGCCCCGCTTCTCAGAGCTACAGTTACCACTCTTCGGGAGAATACAGCTCCGATTTCTTAACTCCAGAGTTTGTCAAGTTTAGCATGGACCTCACCAACACTGAAATCACTGCCACCACTTCTCTCCCCAGCTTCAGTACCTTTATGGACAACTACAGCACAGGCTACGACGTCAAGCCACCTTGCTTGTACCAAATGCCCCTGTCCGGACAGCAGTCCTCCATTAAGGTAGAAGACATTCAGATGCACAACTACCAGCAACACAGCCACCTGCCCCCCCAGTCCGAGGAGATGATGCCGCACTCCGGGTCGGTTTACTACAAGCCCTCTTCGCCCCCGACGCCCACCACCCCGGGCTTCCAGGTGCAGCACAGTCCCATGTGGGACGACCCGGGGTCCCTCCACAACTTCCACCAGAACTACGTGGCCACCACGCACATGATCGAGCAGAGGAAAACGCCGGTCTCCCGCCTCTCCCTCTTCTCCTTTAAGCAGTCACCTCCAGGAACCCCGGTGTCCAGCTGCCAGATGCGCTTCGACGGGCCCCTCCACGTCCCCATGAACCCGGAGCCGGCGGGCAGCCACCACGTGGTGGACGGGCAGACCTTCGCTGTGCCCAATCCTATCCGCAAGCCTGCGTCCATGGGCTTCCCCGGCTTGCAGATCGGCCACGCGTCGCAGCTGCTCGACACGCAGGTGCCCTCGCCGCCGTCGCGGGGCTCCCCGTCCAATGAAGGGCTGTGCGCCGTGTGCGGTGACAACGCCGCCTGCCAGCATTATGGCGTGCGCACCTGCGAGGGCTGCAAAGGCTTTTTTAAGGTAAGAGTGGCAAGGGTGGAAGAGACAGACAAATCTCCCTATTGTCCGGGATCCCCGAGGGCGCGCTCCGCTTCGGGGCCAACAGCACAGCCCAGCAGGCCCTGGACCACCCAACCGTCCGGGTTCTCCGGCGCAGCCCAGCAGGCACCCACGGGCTGCAGCGGGGCTTCTGGGGTCGGAGGAAGAGAAGCTGGAAGACTGAAAGCCCGGAGGTGGAATCCCCGGAACGCAGCTGACCCAGCGGCCCCCCGCCCGAAGTTGCTAGAGTCAGAGTTGGAAGAGGGTCATTTGCATGTGCTAGGAGCTGTCTTCCCTGTTCAGATTGAAATTGGTTAGGACAGAGAACCGTGTCTGAGCTAACCAAGTGGAACAGAATTCCCTATGGTCAAATTAAGTGATCTCTTTATTTCGCCATCCTGATTGAATAATCTTATCATTTTAAATAGAGAAGGTCTCAAAGGAATGTAAATAATATGAATGCCCACGGATTTGTATTTACTGAGCGTCTCCTTCTCCTTCGCTTGGCATATAAAACACAGCAAGGAGCGGCAAGGTTAGCTCAAATGTTAACGCTATCAATTTTTTTCTGTTAAATGCCCTGGGGGAGGAAAAATGAAAAGAGAGAGAGAAAGGAAGAAAGAAAGAAAAAGGAAAAAAGAAAGAAGTGTGTGTATTTGTATTTATTTCTGGGGCAAAATCGTAGATCCCAGGTGCTCAGAAATTGTCTCTGGATTCTCTGGGCTGCTGGATTTCCAGGAGCGAAAAATATTAATTTTCGGCTTATACTGTCTCCTTTTGCAGCGCACAGTACAGAAAAACGCAAAATACGTGTGTTTAGCAAATAAAAACTGTCCAGTGGACAAGCGGCGCCGGAATCGTTGTCAGTACTGCCGGTTTCAGAAGTGCCTGGCTGTTGGGATGGTCAAAGAAGGTAGGTCAGACAAGCTACGAGGCCCCCGGACTGCGCCCTTGGAAAACGACTGCTAGCACCCACTTCCCACTTCCCACTTCCCAAACCCGGTCATCTACAGTCCCCTTCCCCCAATTTGGCCTCCCTGACCCCGCAGCTGCCTGCTTGCCCAGGCTCCCCTAGAGAAAGCCGCCAGGCCCTTCTCGCCTTTGACTATACGACTCATTGGGAGAAAGAAATAAAATACCCCTGCATTTTTTAATGCTTTTACTCAGTAAAGGCTTTACAGGCTGTGGGACCCTGAGCTGCCGGGCAGGGCGCCCCTCGGCTGTGGCCTTTCCCCAAGGAGTGGCCCAGGCGGCAGCTGGGCCCGGCTCTCGGGAGCGACGCTGACCCTCCTATTTCTTTGCAGTGGTTCGCACCGACAGTTTAAAAGGCCGGAGAGGTCGTTTGCCCTCGAAACCGAAGAGCCCCCAGGAGCCCTCTCCCCCCTCGCCCCCGGTGAGTCTGATCAGTGCCCTGGTGAGGGCCCATGTCGACTCCAACCCGGCTATGACCAGCCTGGACTATTCCAGGGTAAGAAGCTGGTGGGGATACCCTGTGGACAAACCGGCTGATGGGCAGGATCCCCCTTCCCCCGGTCACTAACACCAAACCCAGGGGATAAAGGAGGTTAGCAAGGTTGCCACTTCACAGCTCTGTGCAGGGCTACAGGAGACAGACAGAGAAATGGTGTAGCTCCCAGTGTAGACCTGAGGACAAGGCAGAGGAAGGAAAAGAGGACAGCCACAGGGGTCGAATCTCTGTGAGGACCCCACTGGACAACCCCCTCCCCCTGCGCGCACACACACACACAAATGCCTCTAATGTGAAAAAACAGCGACTGTGCAAAATCCGCCACTTCTACTTCATCCCCAGTCCTCCATAGAGATGCTGTAATCCTCATCCTCTCTGGCACATCCAGGATGAGAAACTTCCAGCCTGCCTGGGGGTTAGGGAGGAGAAGGAGAAAGGGAGTAAGGAATGACTGTAAGGTGGGGGATCAAGTGGTCAGATTCCACTTTTACTCCAGCTGTGAGAAATGTGCTGGCTTTAATTGGAGGAAGTATGTTGGGCAACCTAGAAGCCACTGCAATTTTATTAAGATCTGCAAAGGGTGGCTTTTCCCGGGACCCACTCTGGGACTGGCATGAATACTAACGTGTCAATTGTTTTGTGGAGATAAGAGTGAACGTTTCCCAGGGCTGGATGGCACTGTATTTAGTCTGTATGGAAATGGTAATTTACATATTTAAAGCAGCGACCTCATAGCACCATCCCTAATTGAATTAATTGCCCCGGAACATCTAATTTCCTTACTGGTCAGAGAGAGGTTTAATTGTTATAAAAACCTGGCTCCCCTACTAGAAACGGGGTTAGCAATTTCACGGGTTATATATTTTAGAGAACCTCATTAAGTGCTTTTTAAAATGAAATTCCAGTTCCAGGCGAACCCTGACTATCAGATGAGTGGAGATGACACTCAGCATATCCAGCAGTTCTATGATCTCCTGACTGGCTCCATGGAGATCATCAGGGGCTGGGCCGAGAAGATCCCCGGCTTCGCAGACCTGCCCAAAGCCGACCAGGACCTGCTTTTTGAATCGGCTTTCCTAGAACTGTTTGTCCTGAGATTAGCTTACAGGTAATAAGGGAGGAGGCAGTTGGGGGAGATAGAGGAGGAAGAAGGAAAGCAAGAAAGGAAAGGAAATGGAAGAAGGAAAGAAAACCAGAGGGAAAGGATAGAAAAGGGCAGAATAGGAAATCAAGGAAGGAAAAGGGGAGTAAAGCATAGAAGGGAGAAGGAAGAGGAAGGGCAGGAGCAACCAGAAGCCTTGGATGAACGGAATGGAGGTGGGATAGGGGGCGTTCTTGACTGTTATGAAATTAAACCCTTTCAAGGTCCACTGGTCTACATTTTATTAACTCTTCAGTAATTAGGTGCCTCTTAAATCCCTCATTTATTGCTCTTCAAGTAATTAGTTGTTTAGCTTTTCTCTCTCTCTTTTTCTCCCCTCTCTCTCTTTGGTATTAATTGCAGGTCCAACCCAGTGGAGGGTAAACTCATCTTTTGCAATGGGGTGGTCTTGCACAGGTTGCAATGCGTGCGTGGCTTTGGGGAATGGATTGATTCCATTGTTGAATTCTCCTCCAACTTGCAGAATATGAACATCGACATTTCTGCCTTCTCCTGCATTGCTGCCCTGGCTATGGTCACAGGTCAGTACCGCAGGCACGGGGCCCTTCTCCTCTAGAACTGCCCAGCAGATCTGTCCCAACTTTCCCTTGCCACTGCTCCTCCTTGGTTCTACCAGCTTGTGCTAACTGCCTTGTGCTTTCTTCTTTTGTTTCTGATTGTGTTTTATACAGAGAGACACGGGCTCAAGGAACCCAAGAGAGTAGAAGAGTTGCAGAACAAGATTGTAAATTGCCTCAAAGACCACGTGACTTTCAATAATGGGGGGTTGAATCGCCCCAACTATTTGTCCAAACTGTTGGGGAAGCTCCCAGAACTGCGTACCCTTTGCACACAAGGGCTACAACGCATTTTCTACCTGAAACTGGAAGACTTGGTACCACCACCAGCAATAATTGACAAACTTTTTCTGGACACTTTACCTTTCTAAGACCTCTTCCCTTGTACATCAAATGAACTGGAAAGAAACCTAAACTGTCCAGAGGGGGAAAGGCATATGGGCAGGGATAGTACCCTGAACTGCCTCAGCTCTAGCTGCCCTCACCCCTTCTGCAAACCCTCCCAGCCCTTTGATCCCTAAAGAAAAAAAACAAAAACAAAAACAAAAAAACTGTTGCTATTTCCTAACCTGCAGGCAGAACCTGAAAGGGCATTTTGGCTCCGGGGCATCCTGGATTTAGAACACGGACTACACACAATACAGTGGTATAAACTTTTTATTATTAGTTTAAAATTCAGTTTATTGTTCAGAAGAAAGATTCCTAATGTATAGTGGGAAATGTTTGGCCTTTCTTGGTTGTTTGAATTAAGACAAATGTAATACACATACACACATATATTAAGGAGACCCACGAGTATCGCCCTTTAAAAGACTTCAAAGTTTTCTGCTGTAAAGAAAGCTGTAATATATAGTAAAACTAAATGTTGCGTGGGTGGCATGAGTTGAAGAAGGCAAAGGCTTGTAAATTTACCCAATGCAGTTTGGCTTTTTAAATTATTTTGTGCCTATTTATGAATAAATATTAAAAATTCTAAAAGATAAGTGTGTTTGCAAAAAAAAAAAAAAAAGAAAAATAACTACATAAAAAAGGGACAAGCATGTTGATTCTAGGTTGAAAATGTTATAGGCACTTGCTACTTCAGTAATGTCTATATTCTATAAATAGTATTTCAGACACTATGTAGTCTGTTAGATTTTATAAAGATTGGTAGTTATGAGCTTAAACATTTCCTCAATTGTAAAATAGGTGGGCACAAGTATTACACATCGGAAAATCCTGACAAAAGGGACACATAGTGTTTGTAACACCGTCCAACATTCCTTGTTTGTAAGTGTTGTATGTACTGTTGATGTTGATAAAAGAAAGTTTATATCTTATTTTGTTGTCTAAAGCTAAACAAAACTTGCATGCAGCAGCTTTTGACTGTTTCCAGAGTGCTTATAATATACATAACTCCCTGGAAATTACTGAGCACTTTGAATTTTTTTTAAATGTCTAAAATTGTCAGTTAATATATTATTTTATGTTTGAGTAAGAATTTTAATATTGCCATATTCTGTAGTATTTTTCTTTGTATATTTCCAGTATGGCACATGATATGAGTCACTGCCTTTTTTTCTATGGTGTATGACAGTTAGAGACGCTGAATTTTTTTTCTGATAAATTCTTTCTTTGAGAAAGACAATTTTAATGTTTACAACAATAAACCATGTAAATGAACAGAATTTTGTCTTTTTTTGGGGTAAGGAAAAAAATTGGTGACTAAACAGCAACATAAAATAGCATTGGAGATTGATTTGTGATAAGTCAGTTATTAAGCACTGAGTTTCAAACTGGCAGTCTGGATCTATTTGGGCAAAAGGAAGTGGGGAGTTGAACTAATTACCCAGAGAATTCAGTATAGTACTTTTCCTTAGCCAGAGTCTTCCAGTCTGGTGACCTATGTTTATCAGAATCTATTGAGACTATCTCAACTCTTTCACTAACTTTGCTAGTAAATGCAGCTTTCAGAAGAGAAGTTCAGGAAAGCCTTTGTACTTTTACAAGATCAGGAGAGTTGTCAAATTTTTGTCTTGTGCCATGTTTAGGAAGTATATTTTTATCACTCAGAAGTCAACACGGACTTCAAGCTTACTATATGCAATCTCTGAATTTTCCTAATTTCTCCACTTATAACTGTTGGGAAAGGTCTTGGACAAAGAACGAAGCATTGGGGGGCCCTTTAGGCCTTGGATCAGTGGTCTTTGAGAAAGAGCTGAACTCAGTAGATAGACGTGTTTCTTACAACTTACTATTTTCTTCCTTCAGTGGAAAATGATAAAGTGCAATTTGAAGTTTTAGAATACTATTTTTGCCTTAAAAGATTCTCAGATAAATAATACAATATCCACTGCTCAGAGTTCTGTCTGGTATAAGAAAGTTAAGACACCAGCCTCTGGGATTTATTCAGCAGCAACTTCTGGCAAAGAAAGGAAACTTGCGGCTGTAGAAACTGCTTACCTACCGTTAGTGCTACTGGCTTTGGGCTGACAAGGTCCGGGGAGTTTCACCTTAGGTCAATTGTGAATTCCTAGAGATGGGAACCCAACTCACAGGTGACCCTGGTGAATTACAGATGGACCCCTGGTCAATGAAATTTACAGAGAGCTTTATTTATTTATTTATTTATTTTTAAAAATGCAGAGTTAGAACAGTAAATTGTCAGGAGAAATCTTGGGTTATTTTTCTTTTTCCTCTTTTTCAATTTTTTTTTTTTTTTTTGAGTGGGGGAGAAGTCTCATCTCCCTGGTGAAGGTTATTTTCATGCATTTCTCTGCTGGTCATTCTGAGGGGCAGGGGAGAATGGCCACCTAAGAGATGAAATAATAAACCAAATACCCAATTGCCTGGCTGTTTTGAAAAGACGAGGCTAGCCATTTTCTTCTGTTTTTCACCTCTTCTACCCAATGAAAGCCACAAATTAGTAAGCAGAAGGAGAAAGCTCCCTGAAAATGCGGGGACTTTGCAGAGCACTAGGAGCTGTCTGCCAGGTGTCTGCAGCCCGTGACAATTTCATTCCGACTCAGAATCCCCGAGGGTTGAACCCAGAAACGAACTTTGCTGCCGGTCCTCCCTTAAGGAAGTGGCTGAGCATCACCCAGACCAGTGGGGTATCAGGTAGTCCACCTCCCGAGAATTTGGGGTGAAAGGTGGGTGGGATGACGCCTGCGAGCTATACCGGGTCGTCGTACAGATTCAGTCGTGAATCCTAAATTGCAAAGTGGCTGTTGCTCTTCTTGCTTTCCAACCTCTCACTGTGCACGGAGTTGTGCGAGAAGGAAAAAGCTTCGACAAGTCTCAGAAGCGTCTTCGGAGATCAGCGCAGCTGAGGACTTCTCTTGTCCTTGTCCTTCTAGGAGTAAAGCTCAGGAAAAGCAAGACATGCAAAAGCCAGAGTTACATGGAACTTCCTTAGAAAGAGATTAAAAGTTTATAATGGGAGCTTCATCTGCTCGACCCTTGGCCCGTCACATCCTTTTAAGAATTTTAGCTATTGTGTACGGTCTCATCTATGAAAAATACATAATTCTTATTCCGAAGTCATGACCATACACTTCTCAGCTTAGAGAAAAGGTCTAATTTTGAGTTTTCGCTGTATTTAGATCCACGTTGAGTGGTTGCTTAGAATGTTCTGACTTCTGGAGAGATGCTCTTATTCAAAGTACGGGTGAGCAGCGCTAGTGCCTGCTCCTTGATGGGGTCCGCCTCTGGCAGTCTGGGCGACCGCCGAAGGCTCTCCGGGTGCCCCGCAGTCCCTGTGGAGACGCCTTTTCAGAGAGAGTTCGAATCTTTGATCTTGATTGTAACTAAAGCAATAGGGCCCAGGGAGTTGGTAGCACCCTGCAGTGACAGCTGCCCCCAAAGACCTTATCTTGTGCAATTCTTTCTGGTGCCCTACTCCATCCCTAGAGTGTTTGGGTGCTCCCCTAAATTACTGGTCCTAAGTCTTAAGGGCCACTGTTTCCCTAGTGTATAAAGAGCCCGACAAGGAGGTACAAGATAGGAGGACTCGTCTGGCCAACTTAAGAATGTCACCTGAAGGTTTAATTTCACTTTGCCTTGAATCTCTTGCCTTTGTCGGTGTCAGTGCATCGACACAAATATTTAATTATCCAATTTTATTTGGAAACAACGAGGCGTTGGCAGTGAAGAAACACTTTAGAGGTACAAACAGGTCTGCAGGGGGAAAGTTTTATGTTGTTCTAATATTTTAATCACAGAGTTTACCGCCAGGCCCTATGTGGGGAGGTGACATCAGGCCATTTCTCTCAAGCCTCGTTCGTGTCACGCATCTTCGCTCCATCACCTACCAGTTCCAGGCTTCGCTCCGCAAATATTTCCGTTTCTTTTCTTATCCGCCGCGCTGCAGCGCCGAAGTGGCTGCGGAAAGTAAGGGCTCGGGTCTCCAATACTGGGTTTCGCCTCTCTCAATGGGAGATAGCCTGCCTCGATGCCCTGTGACCCCGAAGCCACCTAAAAATGAAGACAGATCCAACCAAGGCATAGGGGTGGGGGTGGGGGTGCAGAGTGGAGTGGATTTAAAAACTTTTTCTTCAGTATTGTTTGGACGGTTGAACTGCGGTCTGGGAGTGATCTCGAAGACCTCCTCCTCCAAATTTGTTTTTATTTTTTCTCTCCTGTTTCCACTATCCCGGAACAGGAACTCTTGCCTGTTCTTCTTGAGCATCGCATAGGCCGGAACTTGACTCAAATTTGGAGTCCTAGGGACAAGGGATTGGGTGCGAGTATCAGCCAAGGCCCACTCAACCCCTCCTCCATGGAGGTCTAAGCCAAGATAAACGAACAATAGCGCACCCCGACTTCAACAGTCTACAGAAAAGACCCATGTTGGAACTCAAAACCAAGCAGTCCTGTTTCTCATTCCCGCATTCACTAAATTCAGTTGATTGGCTGACTTTACTGGGAAACTAAGATATGAATTCCAAGCAGGGTCACCAATTTTTAGTAATTCGTTTTCAATAATAAAAGTAAACACATGAAATTCCACTTTTTAATTATGCTAGAAAGTTAAAATTGAATATTACTTTTATAAGCATATAGGGTGGCGAGGCTGCCATTTAAACCTTTTTCCCTTAGCATGTTTCCTGAGCACGACAGGAGCGACCGCTGAGGCCCCAAGGGCTTTACTCCCACTTGGACTTAGCGTTCCCTTGGGACAAGTCCCGCTTGGGTTGGAGAGCGCCTAGCACCGCAGTTTGCGCGTAGGAAACCAGGGCCTCACCTCACGCCGGGGGCGCACTGGGGAGAGGCGCTCCCCCGTCGCGAAGTGCGCTCTGGGCCCACGAGACGATGGTGGGAGAACTCTATAGAGAGTGGGGCTCGAGCTACATAATCCCCGCCCACTTCTTCCCAACCAGACCCCCCTTCCCAACGTGGTCTGATTTTGAGGTCTCAGCATTACGGTAAAGGACGTCTATCTGTGGTATGACCTGAGGGCGAATGTGGAGACAACAGTGTTCGCGCTCTGCCCACTGCGTTTTGGAGACTCTCAGGGTTGTTGGGGGAGACATTGTCTTGACAAGCCTGGACTGGTCCGGGTTAACTGTCTCCTCGGTCTCCTTTCCTACCCCACTTTCCTCCCAAGCTCTCGCGCAGCCCCAGAGCCTCAGGGCGCAACAGGTTCCAGTCGCCGCTTGGTCTAGTCCGGAGCTTCAGGGCGCGAGTGCAGTCGCGGAGCACGTGCGCCCGAGCGCGTCTCGGGCTTCTCCTTGCACCTGCCGATCCGAGGTCAGTCCCGGGTCTCTCCGAGCCTTGAGCAGTGCAGAGCTATCCTCTCACCTTGTTCTGGGGAAACTCCTTTTTCCAATTCTAGGGGCGCACAAAAGGGTGGGGCAGAGGCTCCAGGTCCTGAGTCCGAGGCGTGTCTGCATGACGGGAATGACCGGGAGAGGGGCACACACACCTATGCCACACCCCTGCCCCACACATGTGCGAAAAACCGGTAGTTCCAAGAAAGTATTGCACATGTCCGGGCC